CCATGGCAGCCATTGTTGTCTCTGTGTCTCAGAACACAGAGAGAGAACCCAGATTCAGATTTAGGGTCCGATTCAGATCCCAAAGCGTTCAAACATGGTGCAGTTGAACTTTGAAGGGGGTGGAAGTGAAGGGAAGATCGGTGCCGGAGGTGCTCTCGTTGGGGCGTCGCCGGAGGCAGCCGCCGTAGCAGGTTGAACTTTGAAGAAGAAGAAGAAGAGGCGGAGCGAAACGCAGAAGACGGAGAAATGGTGGAGAGACGAGAGAGATTGTCCCGTTTCCGTTTGTCAGAATAAAAAGTCCAATATCTCAAGTTATTACTTTTTTTTCTTTTTTAAAACAATATGTCAAGTTATTACTAACATCATACTCTCTCTCTCTCTCTCTTTTTTAAATTAGCAGATTTTAATTCACTATTTTTTAGCTGTAAATACATGTTTTAATCGTTAACCTTGACAAGGACCGATCCTGCGTTCGAATACTCGACTCTCATTTATTATTAAAAAAATAGAACTATGTTTTCGTTAAATAATAATAACTAAAATGTTTGAGCTAAATAATAATTGAAAGGTTAGGTTAACTTAATCATAATTGTTAAATATTTCTAATCAAGAGATGATGTGTTCGAATCCTCTAATCAAGAGATGATTATTCAAATCCTTCACTCCAATTGTACCAATTGTAGTAATATATATATATATATATATATATATAGGAACAAAAATGAAATTTAAATTTAATTATTTCGACATGTTTTTACTTTATTAAAAAAGAAAAAAAAAATTGCAATGGGTAGCAAAAAGGTATTTTAAAATGTCACCTATTTTTTTAAATTTCAAATATAACACAGATTTTCACATATCAGTAGTATGTCAGATACTAATATTAATAGTATATCATACATTTATATGAATAGTATATGAAATATATATCACGTACATATTACAAGTATATTAGACACTCATATTAGTAGTATATCAGAATATATCAAATGTATATCACATACATATATCAATAGTCAGATATATTACAGATACATTACAAATATATATCATTTGGATAAATTTGTTATTTTAAAATTGGACCTCCATTTTATTTCAAGTGCTATATTTGTTAAAACTAAACATGTGTTATTTTACTAATTTTACTAAATATTTTTGCCAAGCTCCTGAAAAATATATATGGAGTATACATTATTAATCTAATATTGCTAATATTTGGTCCATTCTATCCCATTTTACTACTTATTTCTCTTTGGAAATTTAAATAGAAAATACATGCCAATGGTTATGGAAGGTAGAAACTAAAATTTTAATAAAATTTAGAATGATGTCTCATGTTACTCCAATTATGTTGAGTTATCATCAGCTATATGAATGCACTAATAATTGCACAATTTTATCTATACCTGTTTGTATGATCATTTTCTAATTTTGGTGCGTCACACGGTTTAAATTAAAATATATTCATGATCTTCCTCTCTCTATATATACAGTACAATATATGAAAGTGAGAATTACAACTCATAATCTTTGGTCGAATTCTAATAATTTGTTAAATTTTAAATAAATTTTTTCATTTCAATGTTTCAATCCCATAAAGTATACACATCTAAATCTCACACCCAACTTGAAAAACATATATTTTCGATTAGAAGGTCGGAGGTTTAAATCACCATCATACCCTTGTATTTTGAAACATCCCAACATCACAAAAGTATAATTTTCTCTTCACCCTTTGAAACATAGGAGGTTACATTATATTCTCTAAAATGGAGAGAGAGAGATTGACGTATGTGAAGGGGCGCTAGATAGAGATATTGAGTGGTGAATTAGATGCCCAAAGAATTTGAAAAATGGTACAAATGATGAGCATGATGCTAAGTTGCAGAGTGGCCAGAGCTGCAAAGTTGGAAACTCCATCGCTAGAGGCTGCATTTCAATTATTAAATCAAACATCAAACATAAGACGATGCGTCTGGAAAGAAAATAAGATGGGAGAGAGATATGTTGAGATATCTATATATGAATTAATTGTCGACGGGATGATTAATAACCTGAAAGGCAGGAGAGTGGATTGACATGTTGCCCACATCTGCCAGGCAGCTGTTGAGCCTCGTTGACATCAATGCCAGCCTGCTCCGCTCGATTGCTTCCCTCCATGCTAATTAAACTGCAAAGGCAATCTGGATTCGACTCGATCACCCGTCTCAGAGGATCACAACAACTCTCCGGCGGGTCTCGGGTTCCGTTGAGGTAACTTAAGCAGGGAATTAACCTGTTCACGCACCGTGTGTCTTGTTCTTGAGCGTATCCTTCAAACACCAGCAGTAGCATTGCGGTTGCGATTGCGATCGCCGCCGTCCGAGGCTTCATTTTGAAGCTGCTGTGTGTTCAGCCAATATTGAATATACATACATATAAAAGCATGGGGCCTGGGGGTGGGTCATCAAACAAAAACATTTCATTACTCATGGGGGATTGTTTTTGACTTTTGGGAGGTTAGAAATGGTCGTTAGATTAGATTGGTGAAGCTTGGCGACCTAATAATTTCTAGCCAATTTGGATCATATGAAGTGCCTCCATCATAGATTAGAATGAGTGAAGTTGGCAAGTTGCGGTTTCTCTGGTTGAGCCATACAAATATGAGACGGGACGAAGAATTCCACATCACAACACCTTGTTAAGAGCTTATAACATTTCTGTTTCTTATTTCTATGTTTTTATTTTAATAAAAAAAATGAATTGCACGGTTCCAACATCCATAAATTCATGTATGACAAATCAATTTTTTTTTTGTTTATATTTTGAAATAAACTAGAAATGAAAACAAAAAATAAGAAATTTGTTTGTTGTTGTAACAAATTGGAAAAAACAAGAACATTATCAAATGGACCCTAAATAGTCATAATACTTGGCTCCTTAACGATAAGGACCGAATCTTGTCCTCGCCATCAAGTATTTTCCTATTGGCAATGCTCAAACTCAAAGTTTATTCAACTAGGAATGGTTTATCCTGCAAATCTTGTCCTCACCACCAAATATTTTCCTATTTGCAAATTTCAAGTGAGAGCACCCAACCAGATGGTTGATTTTAGCCTTTCCTATTTGTAAAACAACTCACAACGACTCAGTGAAAGAGTCCCTGCCCCAGCCCCATAATATTATCATATCCACTCTCTTGAACTGGAAAAAGGCATATCCCAATCCTAACCAACTTATCACATAAAGGTAATATTGAGTCTTGACACTATCTACAGCCAATGTCAGATGCTACCACAGATCTGATTCATGTTGTTGGGTCTCGGTTTCCCCGCACCCTTTGCCAGGAGTCTGCAGATGCCATCGCCTGGGTTCTAAGCAACGACCTCTACTCCGAATGATCAGAATATATATTCTTCTTCTTCATAGTACTAAACATAGTATATCATCCCCACTTCAATTAGACTGATGTGAGGAATGTTGAGTGCAACAGACGGGCCTCTGCAGTTCTTTCGCAGAAATGAGTAGCCGATATCGATTACGAGCTTTTTCAAGTACGACGAAGATCTTCTTGCCTTCACATATGAGTGTCCCATTATATATGCAACACCTGCCTCTTTTGCTTGGATCAAGTCCATCAATTCTTCCCTAACTCGAGGAGCCATTGAAGGGCTGGGAGACAGCTGAAACCTTACTTGGCGCCTTCTTAGTTGCGGATTCTCATCCTCATACACAGATCGTAAACTCTGGAGCGTTGAAGATTTGCTGCTATGGATGGAGTTGCTTGTACCAACTTCTTCCTGCCCCGATACTATTAAGCTCAAGCTTGATTGAATGCTTCGAGTGCTTATTACAGCCATCCTCCCATCAATTGAAGAACTTTCAGAGTTCGAGAATTGTGGTTCCTCTGCCTCCATTTGAATAAATTCTGCTATGTTTAGCATCAGCTGGTTCTCAAAGTCCCCATCATCCCTCTGAATGTCCTTGTAGCCATACCTTACTATGCACCGATACATGCGATAAGGTCTAGGACAAACTCTCCCGACGAGAAAACGTTCTTCGGGCGAGACATATGGAACAGGAACAGACTTCACACAAACAAAGACTAAAACTTTGTGAAACGCAGGGAGATTGGTCACAAAGTGAGAAAATATTGAGGGAACCCCAGTTGCCAATTCCGAGTATATGAGACCTATACCCGGCACACGAACTATACCGAGGCTAGGGCCAAGGCCAAGCAACCACTTCAGTGAAACTTTATTGTGTAGATCAAAGTTGTACTTCTTGCGAGTGCCATAATGCCATACAAACATAACGATCATAAAAATGGCTGACAACACCAGAGGGACCCAGCCTCCTTGAGGCACTTTTATGATTGCTGCTGATAAGTAGGCACCCTCAATGGACCAGAAGAAGATGAGAAAAGGTGCAGCCAGCAGGATACTTTTTTGCCAAACGAATACTATGACAAGTGCCATAAGAAATGTCGTCGTGAACATAACCGTCATGCAGGCAAGTCCTGGACCAAGAACAAAAAAATACAATTATGTACAAGTATGTCGTAATTGCAAGTAGGAAGAAATTAAAATACCTCTCGCGCAAAACCAAGGTAAGTTTTCAGAGACGTAAAGGAGATTAATTTGAATTAGAGTTGATATGTTTCAGCAACTCAAATGTATGATAAACTATCGCATCCCTGAGAACTGACAAAACAAGTTTATAACTCTATAGTAATCTACTTTAGACGTATTCCCCACTTTTTAAGTTCTATCAGCACTCCTCAGAAATCACAGTTCGTCACCCTCTCCTCCAAATGTTATGATCAAAATAACTTTCAAATTAAGTTATGTATTTACTTTCAAATTAACTTATGTTTTTGCTCACCCACTTTCAATGGCAGACTGCAAACATAGACAAAGACATAGGCCAGAGCCTTATTGATATCGTTTAACCTAAACAAACTAATACAATAGCAAAGTCCCTGAGAATTATAAGGATGTTGTTTGCACCAAACTCCAAAGGAAGGCAAGGGCAAAGAAGAAGAGACAAGTTCCTATAATCTAAATTGCAAAGTGGTACAGAAAGAGGAAGAAGAATTAAACGCATCTAAGCAGAGAGGAAACGGCCGAGATTCCTGAGAACCTGACCCATCAAAGACGCTCCCCCCAGCCACTTTACCATATTCCGAATTCAATRGTTTCAATAAATCCCCTACAATAGTTCGTCTTAGACCAGATCTAGAACTATCCTGGATAGTTTGTAACAAAATCAATCCACATCCTCCATGCCACTAGTGCAAGAATTAAGTACAAAAACACAGCAGAGGAGTACAAGTTTTAAAAGAGTATAATGACCTTGATGTAGTTTAAAAAACTGATCACATTGGCAAAAAAAAGTGCTATTTAGTGACTAATAATGTGATAGGAATAGTTTTTCGATATCTCTAATGTGTTTTTAGCTAATTAAAAATGTTTTACACAATTTCCATGATGCTATGTTAAAAAGTGCTTTCAATAGTGCTTTACTTAAAAGCATTATTCTGATAAGCTATCCTAAACACCAACATATTACTTCCATTGAAAGCAGTTGGTAACTGTAAGCATTTAAATGCATTGTGTTATTAGGTGACCCAAAATATTGTTAGGCCCTCATCCAAACACTAATGTGTACCAGTGTGTATGTGCACGCTTCTAGATGCAGGTGCGGGGCATGAGAGAGTCTAAAGCACTTACCATAAGCATTTCCAATCATTGTCGTATCTCGAAACCCTATTGTAATGGAAAGAGTGAGGACCATTAATATCCAGTTTATTTCTGGGATGTAGATCTGGCCATATATGTGTTTAGAGGTGTGGACAACTTTCACTCTTGGAAAGCAACCAAGGGCATGGCATTGTTTGACAATGGAGAAAGTAGCAGTAATGACAGCCTGGCTCCCTACAATAGCTGCAAGGGTGGCAATAATAAAAACAGGCCAAAATACAGGTTCTGCAAGAGGGAGATGATAACGGCAATGTCAACAATTGAAGTCAAAATACTCAGAAATCCAAATCACTGTTGAGGAAACAAGACTGGTTCACTTACTAGGTATTGAGTCATAAAAGCTGTTTGGAAACAAATCAAGGTTCTTAGACAGAAAAGCAGCTTGACCCATGTATTGTACTACCAAACAAGGGTAGATAACAAATGCAAATGCAAGCTGCAAAAGCAAAGACTTCGTATTAGTTACTTAAACCATTCATCAGTTGATGCTAAATGAGACCATTTATCAATGGCTTAAGACACAAAGTTAAGATCAAGTTAATGTCACTATATATTAAAAAATCCAGTAAGAAGGAGCTTCTTTAATATCATAGATGATTCAATTTTCTCTGCCATATTTGTTTTCAATCAGTGGAATCCAAAAGGTAAATAGAATATATAAGCTCCTCCCAACTACATGATGGAATTTGATTGCCTCAATCTGATGTCTATGTATTCTGACTCTTATATGCATAATTACACAGATGATCACAAGCTCACCCTTATCGACAAAGCAGTGAAATGACCAAGATCTGCAAACATCGCTTCAGTACCTGAGGAAGACACATAAACGCGCGTTAAACAGCTAGAAATAAAAATGAGGTATAGCAGTATTTATCTAAAAATTCAAAACTTCATAAGGTTCCCAGCACCCAATTTTTCAACACAAAGTAACACAGAAACTCAACCAATTGACAAGGATGAGGCCCATAATGATAAGGAAAACAAAACTGAACGCATATAATAATTCCAGATTCCACATACCAGTTATGGACAGAAGAATCCCTCCGAGAGAAAGCCAACCATCTTTACCAGTGATGCTTAAAAACTTGATAACATAATGAGGGGACAGTGCACGAATAATACTTGGGTTCCAATGTATTATGTTGTACATACCAATGGAGAAAATTGATAACAACCAGATAATAACTAGTGGAGCAAACATAAAGGCAACCTTATGGGTGCCACAATGCTGCAGAGCAAACAGGCCAATCAATATGGCACAAGCAATCAAAAGGAGTGTCCCTGCAGTAAAGATCATCTTAAATGAGAATCAGAACAGTAAATTATGATAAAGACTAACTCTTGAGCATCGCAGTTAATTATAATCAATGTAAAGATAATATATTACCACTGGTCAATTTAGCTTCAGTAACTTGTAACCCTGAAACTGACGACAGAACTGCAAGGCAAATGACATATAATGAGCCAAAAAAATCTTAAGACTATGACGACCAAAATTATCAGCGTTCCAGATTCCCTAATGGTGGTACCAGTGTAGTAGTAAAGAATGTACATTATTCTTGTAAGACACAAGCAGGATCCTGTGGTACAAGAAAGTGGTGAAGGTAAAACATAAAAAAAGGCATGTTAAGATAACCTCCTCTGGAATGTTTTATTTTCTCTTTTCAATTGGAAAACTTATTTTCTACAATTGAACAAGGATACAACCTGTGTGGTAATATTATAGCATTGTGATATAGAGATCTCTAACCTCAAATTTATATCCACCATCATATTGCAATTCCATTTTGAAAATTTGAAATTGTTCTTCACCGTTAATTTCTTTTATATTTGCTTCTAGACAACGGATGGGATGGTAAACTCAATGGTACTGGTAGGTTCAATAACTTAAAAATACTCTGATATCAAAAGTTGGCCAAGACTAAGAGCACAAATTCTTTGTTTTATGTAGCTTACACACTCAGATGTGCATTAGTTGGGCTGAAAATCTATTGATATTGTATTAAGAAAAAAACGTAGCTCACGTGCACTCAAAAGAAGTTTGAGAAAGTTGTCTATTTATAGAACAATGCATATTTACATTCTATTGAAATTAGCGATCTGCCAGAAAACTTGGAGACACATACTTAAATACATTCATGATCCTTAAATATATTGGAAAGAAAATCAAACACCTAGAGGTCTTTATGAAGCCCATGTTTATGACAAATAGTAAATACCTAACCTGAAATTGCAGGAGTTAGCACACCATCACCAATGACCATGCAAGCACCAAATAATACGACAAGAAGTAAGACCGTCCTAAGTGTTTTATGCCTTTCCAAAAACCTTTTTAGCTGAGAAGAGGCTACTGCATGAGAAGACGGGCCATATTTGTAAGATGAGAGTTCCTCATCAGCTGCTTGTTGGTTAGGAAGTAAACTCAACTTAGCATGTCGGCAAAGCAGAGAGTAAAGAGCAAATGTTCCTCCTGAAATAGAGAACATATGGTGCAGAAAAGAACTTTAAAGGCTTAATTAAATGACGAATCAAACTTCAAAGGAATGAGCTAAGTTCTGCAACCCATACCTTCACCATTGTCATCTGCGCTCAATACAATGAAGACATACTTCAGTAATGGAATCAGTGTAAAAGTCCAGAATATCAAGGAGAATGCACCAAATACTACGTCCTCAGTTCTATGTTTCTGTAACTTCCCTGCAAATGTGCTGGAGTAAACATAGAGGGGCGAAGTGCTCAAATCTCCATACACTACTCCAAAACTTTGGTATGCAAGTAATAGATTCCTAGAGAGATACACCCGTGAAAGCTGCATAAGCATAAGGTAAGGTTCGGTTAAAATGGGAAACAAGGAATGACTGAAGGTCCAAAAGAATTCACGCTGTACTATTGCTGACAATAAGATTGATATGTAGGGAAAGAACAACAAATATGTGCAGGCATAAGCATCTTCAACATCAGGTTCAGCTTTTTACAAGATAATTTGATTATATAGAGGCATGTTCCCCTATGATTTGAAGGTATATTCTATCTCAAAGAAAACAGGTAATTTAACAGGTGTTGTATCAATGAGTTAGTTCCACAACTGCATGTAATTGTTTGTGATGACGAAAATATGCAATGCAAATCGCATTAGTCAAAACCAAATCTTTTGTTTGTTTGTTTGTTTTTTTTTTTAATAACTGGGAATGAGAGTTTTGCTCCTCTCTACCCCGAGAGAAATCAAGGGTTTTTGGTATTAAGTTCACTAGAAAGTTCGAACTTTTAAAAAATATTAAAATATGAAAAAAATAAGAGGGTGAAATTGGCAGGAATGTCTTTGGGGTGATTAGGGATGTTAATAGAATAGTGAGAGTATGTTAGTAATTAGTTAAGAAATTGGTCGGTAGGGATTTGTTATAAATAGAGTGGGAAAGAAGGGAGGCAGGGAGGCAATTGTTTACTGTAGTTTAGGCTTGAACGGTGTCTCAAGAGAGGGGAGGTTCAAGTACCTCGAATACTTGGGTTATATTGTAAGTTCTTCTATCTTTCATATTATAATATTATTCTAGTTGTTTGGATTCTATCACAAATATCTCCCAATGTTTCACGAAATTGCAAGTTCAATCATGGTTATCCACTGAGGAAAACTACGGTCAAGTTGACAAGAAGATATTGGTCAGTCACAAGAAGCTTAAAGGAATTGCACACTTCAACCTGTTGCCTATGCCAACTATCTAAGTTAAGAAAATCAGGAGGAGGATTCGGACCTCGAAAAGGAAGCCACTCTCCTTTCAATTATGAGTTCACACGTATAACCAAGAGCTAAAGTATGCGCTTAGACCTCTGAATAAAAATTCCATTTAAATCACGACACGAACACGCTAAATAATATCACACACGAAAAAAAAAAAAAACTAAACAAAAGGAAGACCTAATGTTATCGCTATCAGAAAGAAATTAAAAATAATAATGATGACGACAGTGATAGCTATGATAAGAATGAGTAAAATACTTGTAATAATTGTAATCAACAAAAGAAGCTGATGAGATGAAGAAGCCAAAAAAACAACCACAACAATTTAGAGACTGAAAGAAAAAAAGCCGTAACCAAGTTGAGAAGAACAAATACAAGAAATGAATGATTAAAGATGAAGCCGTGAATCTACATATCCGATACGAAGTCTGAGAAGCGAATCGGGGAAGGATGGGTTTGCGATTGAAAACAGAGAATGAGCAGCTGATTACCGAATTGGCGAGTTCGAATAACATCCATTTGCGACATAATCGGAAGCAATAGGGTAACGGGAAATTCCGCAAAAGAGGAACAAGAAATCGAGCAGAATCGTTGGAAAAAAATGTAGAGGAAACAAGGAAAAGCATGGAGGAAAAGAGAAGAGATGAGAGAACCTGAGAAGGAGTGGAAAACCCAGATCCTTGCTCCATTGGGAACCGCAATCCGCAGCTCCTGTGTGTGAGAATTGGAACTCCAACTCGCGAGAGAGAGAAACTGAGAAAGAGAGAGGAATGGCGAAGAACAGAAACTAAAAACAGGTGCTGTCTGCTTGCGTTAATTAAATAATAATAATAATAATAATGCAATAATATTAAAATAATGGTGGAGGGCGGAGCCAATGGAAGGCGGTTGCGTTGGCGTACCATTTCCACCGCACCCACGCTGTCAAACTCGGTCTTAATTACAAAGTTGGGTTACTGTGTTTCATTATCAAAACTCACTGTACACTCCGCAAAAACAATTTCTCTTTCTCCTTTTTCTTTTTTTTTTATAATTTTTTTCTATTAATTTTAGAGGAGAATTATCCCGATATAATATTTAGAGTGTGTTTGGCAGTGATTTATAATATCTCTTCTCGATTTATAATATCTCTTCTCGATTTATAATATCTCTTCTCATTATTAATGGTGTGTTTAAAATGATCGTAGAATTAGTAATTTTGAAAAAAATGATTTAAGTATAATTGTTTTTCCAAACCATCATATAAATTATGCCTCAAAAATTAATTTAAATTGATTTTAAGTTGATTTTAAACTTTCCTAAAATAAATTTTTTAATTTGTCAAACAGTAATGGGAAAGGAAGTGATTTTGAGAATGACAAACATGATTTTGATCATGCCAAAATCACTCCCAAACACACCATCAAGTACTTTAAATTGATTTCTCGTTGTTAAAGTTTAAAATTAATTTTTAAATATCATTTAGATGGTGATTTTGAAAAATCAATTATACTTAAATATCTTTGTTCAAAATCACTCATTCTACTATCACTCCCAATGAGTAATTTTGGCAGGGTCAAAATCGCTTCTTTCCCTATTGATCATGTTTGACAAATTAAAAAATTAAGTTAAACTTAAAATCACTATAAATTGATTTTTAAGGTATGACTTGGATGGTGATTTTGGAAAATCAATTATATTTAAATGCATTTTTTTAAATCATTTATTATACCATAACTCTCAAACACGCATTTAGTTGTTCAAAAACATGTGGAAAATTTTAATATTCTAGATAACTATTTATGATTTATTTTGGAGTGATTTTAGGATAGTCAAAATTATTTTTGACATTGTCAAAATTACTTCCGTTTCTATTGATCATGTCTAGTAAATTTAAAAATTGATTTTAAACAAATTTAAAATTACTTTAAATTGATTTTAATATTACATAGATAGTAATTTTGAAAAAACAATTACACTTAAATCTCTATTTTCAAAATCGCTAATTTTGCCATCACTTTCATACACGTTCTTGAGCTCATTTTCTAAATTCTCTTACCTTACAAAGAAATAATAATAATAATAAAACAAATTTTAAATCTCCTCTTTCAAATTTATTTCATTTTACTCCACAAACTTTTAGAATGTTTAATTATACTTGAATAGTTGGATCTTTCTTAATATTCAGCAGCTATATATTTAGACCACTAAAAGATAATTCTGCCAAAGCGAGCATTTCTCATCGATAATTGACATATATCTCCAACCAAGAGGTTGTAAGTTCGATCCCCACCCTTATACTAAAAAAAACTTTCAAATATAATTCTTATGGTCTTTAACTATTTAGATGTAACAATAATCTAGTATTATTAGCGATTTGTGCCGGTTTAAGACAAGTATAATGTTCAAGCTGGAATTTTAACTATTACAAAAAGAATATGAAATATAAACTTCAGAGAAGTGCTCTGTATACGAATCTTGACCATAGAGTTTTATGGCCCGCTTTTCGAACTTTTCAAATGGAGAGTATTTATTCCGTTGAATACAACGTACAGAGATAGGGATTCAAACTCACGACCTTTTAACTGAAAATAGGCGTCTTAACCCGTCCGCCCCTGTTCCAACAGCTAGAGATAATAAAAGTTCAGGTTCTTCCTCTTCCTCAGCCAATTCCCGACCGCTTTGCCACCTTAATATCAAGGAAGCCCACCCCAGTATCATGAACGCAGAGCGCCGACTGTAACAACCSTGATGCTGTCGCGTAACAGAAAGACAGAAAGAAATGAAGCTGCTTCAATATCTTTTTATCAAGGGTGAGGTTTGGAACCCAGTCACTTTACACCTAGTGGGAGTCATGGAATAGCATAGCGTTGATCAATTGAAGAAAAAAGAAATGAATCGAATAGGAACTCTCATTGACCTACTTAACTCAGTGGTTAGAGTCTTCTATACGGCATCGGTTCACGATCCAATAGTAGGGAAGCCCGCCCGCGGGCGGAGGTTCTTGCTCCAAGACCAAGACGCGTTTGGAAGAACGGGCGGGCATTTCCATCCATTTCTATAGAGCAAAGGGGAAGCTCCAGCTGAGTTAAGTTTAAGTTGACAAGATAAATGTATTTCAATATGACTTTTTGAAGTCGAAATGCGTGGGAGTCTTTTGAAATATGCAATATGTAATTATTGGGAGTGATATGCCATATTCGATGGTCTGTCACTCCAAAAGTTGAAATCGATCGACATAACACACAACATGTGGCATAGAGCCTTAATCCAATGAATTCCTCGCTTAATGAGTACGTGTCATATCAAATTTCAAATCGCAATGCCCAATACTTTCATCCACTGTTCCATCTAATTCAAACCCCTTAGAATAAATTCTCTCTCTCTCTCATTTTTCTTTGTATTTCTTATTTTTATACTTCGCTTGTGTTTTTCTTAAATCCGGATTGGGTTTAAGCTATGTGGATAACTACGCTATTATTAATAGATTGGTCCCCCCACCCGTGATTGAAAATTTACATTAGTTTTTTTTTAAGCCAGTATCAAATTTTATCCTAATTCCAGTTAAAAAATTGATAACTCATTATTTTTTAGAAATTTTTCTTCCTAAAATCTAGGAGGAGTTTTGTCAATTTGATAAAGCATTTTGAGTATTTCAAGTGAATTACCATTGATACTTTTAAATTGTTATTATTAATTTTTTAATACAACAAATTGAGAGTCGAGGGGATTTGAATCTCCAACCTCAGGAGAAATAGTAGATGTCAATTATCACGGAATAATGCTTCATGTTGCGAACTATTATTTAATTTTGAAATGTTTGGAAATATATATATACTTATTTATTTAGCTTCAAAATTTTCAATTTAATTCTTAAACTTTTTATTAAGTTGTCTAGAAAATATCATATGTTAGCTTTCTCTATTTAAAATCGAAACAAAATTAGGCTTTAGTGGAGCTATAACTTGGTTGAGTTGAGCTCGGACTAATTAAATGTATAGGGTTTGACAAAGAAAAAAAAAGTTTTATAACTATTAAATTAGGGCTAAAAATGTAGAATAATAGCAGCAACTCACTTTGAATATCACAAAAGGAGACGAAAATGGTGCCATCGTGAATGAATCCAAATTGGTGGTTGCATAGACAAACAAAAAAGTATTTTTAAAACAACGACTTAAAAGATTAAAGGTTAAAATAAAAAGTTGGAAATGGGAGTTTTATAATTGAGGAATATTTTGTATCATTTATGGTAATTTTTTTAAGCACTATCATTTATCTATAAAATAATAGAAAGAAATGGTATTAGCGGTTTGATCAAGAAATTGATCAACTTTGCGAAGGTAAGTAACACACTTGCAAAAGAGAATTAGCATTCTGATACTGTAGGATTTTTACTTGAGATAATATAGTTCACATACCTAAAAATGAGGCAAGAGATCTCTATTTATAGTTAGGACTTTTGACACGTCCTCCAACAAGGTTCCAACGACTTTTCGACAGTCCAAAATAGCGGTGCGTTGTCGTGGATTCTGTTAGATGTTTGCCCCTCTGGTCGGCTCAATTAATAACTCAGGCGACTGAAGTATGAGAGCGATATAGGTCGGCTTGACTGATATCTTAGGTGACTGAGGTATGAGACTATGGTGAGCTTGGACATGAGGCATGAGTCTTGACCATTAGTAGTTCGACTCTGTCTCCTTGAAGGTCCGAACTATCATTTCTTTTGTGTGCGAGTCACTACGATGACTCATCACAATTGTGCTTATAAGACGTCGACACATGGGTAGTGGAAATCACACCCCAATATTAGCATCAATAGAAAATCAATCATTCATTTTTTCAAATAGAAAAGAGCAATTAATGGAACAAATATAAATATAAAAAGATTCTTAATACTTTATATTATATTTATTTCTAATAAATCTAAGCATAGCTCAACTAAAATATATATTTGGATTAAAACGTTGTGACTTCGAATTCTCACTCGATGTTAAAGATACTACATTAAAAATATCAAGAGATTTAATAAGGATTTATAATAAACATGAATTATTTCTCTTCTTATCAATTAATTTTGAGATGGAACTTGTGAATATTAACACCCGAAGAGGATAAAATTGGAGAGAATTAAATTATGAGAAAATGGGTGGAATTGGGATAATGAAGATGCATGGAATAGAAGTAAAGTGTTAGACTTGTTGGAGGAGTCACGGAAAATGGCACGTGAGGGAGAGTGGCTCCGCTCCGCACGTGAACTCAAAACGCTTTCCAGGCGCGTGACTCTAGACCAACCGCCGGCTCCTCCAAAAATTTCCACTTCTATTTTATTTCTATTTCTCACGTCTACTCCCACAAACCATGACGTCGACGCCAACCAGGACAAAAGTACACGTCATTATTTATTATTATCCTTTTTTTTTTTATTTTTCTCCCTTCTCTAAATTCTTGCCAAAATATACACAATTTACATAAGAAAATGAAAAAAAAAAAATTTGCATTATTCTCCGTTAAAATATACCACTAGAATTTTTGACTTAAACATAATTCTCAACAAGTTAAAGCATATTTCTTTATTAAAAAGATCGTAAGACAACCTTACATACTATTATATTTTAAAAACATAATCACACGTTAATGTAAATATAATTCAACTGATTAAGGTACTTATTTTCGAACAAAAGACTGCAAGTTCAAGTCTCCACACTCATATTTTGTAAAAAAGAAAACATTTTTTTTCTCCCTCATTTACCATTAGTTTTTGTTCTAACAAAAATAATTATTATACCATTATTTTTTCAGTACATGTAATTCTTTTTGTAAGATCGGGAAGTTTTATTTGTTTAG